AGGAGCTTTGGTTATGCAAGCTTTTAGAAGGTGCATTGTTTTTTCTATTTGTTTCTTTTTCTGTGTGTGCGCGCTGGGGTTTTTTTTAGTAACTCACTGCAGCAGCTAAAATCCAGTGCAGGGTTTCACCATGTGTTAGGAAAAAAACCCTCCACTCTGTTTGTCCACCGTGACCAGGCTTTAAATAAGCATCACAACTTTCCCCAGCTGTGCAGAGCAGCAGAACAGCAACGGGTCAGAGCCACGCTCTGAGTGAGGAGAGGAGATCCTGCCGAGACAGGAGCTGGAAATAGCATCTGCTTGGCAGAATTAGAGGATACATCCATAATCATTCTGGGGTCTTGGACTGCCTCACAAAACATTCCTCTCTGAGTCCTGGGTGACCTAGAGGAGTTAGGAGACAAACAGAAGCCCCTCAGCTGGCTCCATGTCCTTCTGGAAGGCCATGGAAACAGGGGGTGGATGAAGGGAGGGCTGGGTAAACAGCCAAAGGACCTTCCCAGAGAATTCTCTGCTGCAGTTCACAGCATGGGAACTTTCAATAATAAAGGCTGTAGAGGCTTCTTCAAAGAGCTTCCAGGCTGGATCCGAAGCTCCATCTGGAAGAAGTCTCATGAGACTTGGGAGTGTTTTGTAAATAGAGGCTGGGGACAAATGAGGTTTTACTTAAATTGAACCTGGCAAAACTTGCTTTCTAACAAGAACTTGTAACAGGCCACAGGAACAGAAGTGTTTCCTAAACTTTATCCCTGCTGTAATGTCTTTTGGAAAGGGTGCAGTTAGCTTGTCATCCCTACAAAGTCTTTTACTAGCACAGTAAATTATAGGGCTTTGGGGAATGTGCTGTACTTGGCTCTTTTCGGGTCATGTTCTTGGTCTTGGCCTGCTGTGTGAAACCAAACACGCTGCTTTATCCTGTTTGCCTGTGGATTTTTGTGCTTCAGCAGATTGAATAGCATTTCTATTTAAATCATGCTTCATTCTAACTGAAACAATTGCTGTTCTGTAGTGTCAGGGGATTCTTGAGGTAACAGGAACACTGTATGTTTTGTGATTTACTGACCGGTTTGGCCTTTGAAAGCCCCAGTATGTTTCGGTCCATTTTCCTGGCTTTGTTTGGGTTGGTGATGCCTCATCAGTGACTCCAGACCATGACAGTGTTCATGTTTTCAGCACTGGTGGCCCTCGTTGGGTATTTTGCTCAGGAGCAGTCCCATGTCTGCAGCATCAACAGATCCAGAACATCAGCATCACTGAGTTTAAGGACTTGCTTGTGTGGTTTTCCCCTTTTGAGATGCATCAGCTTTTGTAGGAATGTGTTGGTGTGGTGCAGCTCTTGCTGCCCACGAGTTATCAGCTACCTCAGACTGAACCTGCCTCTCTCAAGCTGTTGTTTGCCTGTGTGTTCCATTTAGCACTTCTGGCAGCATCTGAGAACAGAGAACAGATAAAAAAGTATGAAAGGTCCATAAATCTTCTACAGATTGAAAATATCTCCCACTCTCATCTTGATATTTTTCACTTCAGTTGTGCTCTTATCAAGAAATTCCAGAGTACTTTATGAACACTGAATTAAGCTTTCTACAGCCTTCCTCCCTCTCCTCCTCTCCCCAAGGAAATGACATTATCATCCCTTGTTTGTAGATGAGGAATGAAGGTCTGAGTGGTGAAGTGACTCGTCCAAGGTCAGTGGCACAGCTATGAATAGACAAAGGCATTTTAGCTCTCAGCTCTCTGCTAAACAAGATCGTGCCCTCCCGGTTCCAATTTGTCAAACTTAATGACTAATAGCATTTGAGCATCTAGAATGTGGCAGAAGAATTTATTTTCAGCAGGTAGTCCCTAGTTGTGCCAGCAGCAGGATGCAAGGCTCCTCCAGTCCCCCACGGATCCTGTCTGCCCAGAGTAGGGGTTGTTGCTGTTTGTTTGGGATGCTGTAGGTGCTCACGTGAGGAAAACAAAGATCCCAGACCTCAGTCTTCATTTGTCTTGGTGGAACAGTAATGAAGTGTCCTGAGAGTGGTTTGATTTCAACAGCTACGTTAAAAGGAGTAAAAACCCTCCAGTGCAGTCTGCTGCACCTGAAGGGGAAAAGTAATTCAACTAAAGTCCTCCCAGGAGCCAAGGACAAGAAGTAAATTTTGAGTTGAGCTAATCAGGAAGAGGAAGTCATCTGTCTGCATCTGGTCACTTCCCTGCTTACATGGCACAGCCCTGTAACAGCCACATAAGAAGCTTTGTGATCAACAAATGTCAAGGCCAATTAATTCCTGGGCCAGCAGCTGTTATTATTAGGACTAAGAGTGGCCAGACATAGAAGGAAAGCCTTCAGCTGATTTATTTTCTCTACCTTTCCCATCAACATTGATCAGCTGCTCAAACCCTGGCGGTGAATTCCCATGCAGTAAGAATTTTAAATTTGCCATCTCTCTTTCTTTTAGTAGGAGAGCTTAGATTAGATTTAGAGCACAGAAGAATAGCTCAGAAAAGTCGTTTAGAAAGTCTTCCCCTCTTTAATGCTATCAGGATGGAGCAGAGTTGTGTGTTAAGCTGGTAACATAATAATATGTGGGCTGAGTTAAACCCACCTCAGACTGTTTTTCTCAAACTTAATTGATGGAAACAGCCCACTTTTAGGCTTGATTTATTACCTTACCAGAGTTATTCCAGGACTGCTGCAATGCAACTGTGGGTGTTCTAAACACACCTACGCTGCCAGAGAATCAGGAAGGATGTACTTAAAATCCTCTAATTTATCTAATAACATCTTTAGCAGCTTTTTGTGTAGGTTCAGCATTGTAATGGAAATGCAGTCTCTGGCTGGCTAAAGAGCTGCTGTGTGGAATTCTGGCACTGGCTGTGGGGACATGTAAATAGCACTTGGAGCTGATTGGGGAAGTTCTCTGTCCAGCTCCATGACCCTGTAAATGCACCTTTCAATTGTGTCATCTGTCACTGTGGTTAAAATAATATCTAAAGTTTCAGATATGAGTGTTCACGACTCTGGATCTTCATAGATGTGGCTGTCCCACCTTCCAACCCCAGGCAGAGCAGAGTTTCCTACGTCAGGGATATTTCTTCTCTGCTGTTCAGGTCCCAAGTCTCTATTTTAGCAACAGTTGTTGCTCCAGTTCTTAACCAGGTTGCCTCTTTGCCCATCAGGGAGGGATTGTTTGTAAGGGACACACAACAAGTTTTGTTTTCCTAAAAAGTTCCAGCCCTGAGCTGGTCAGGGTAAGCCGTGGACTGGCAAAGCAGCTCAGGTTCCTGTGGTGTTGATCACTGCTGACATCATTATTCTATCCCAGGCATTCTATTCCCTTTTTTTGTAACATGGGAATCACATGTAACATGACCAGAAACCAGCCTCACCACTCTGGAGTTTTTGGGCTAATAACAGACCTGAAAAACCTGCCCTTTTTGAGTGGAATAAAGGCAGAAAAGCCAGGGAATCAGCTCCTACCCGCGCCACAAGTAACGGAGGTCCCGCTGGGTTTTCCTGCTGTTGATCCCGGGCATTGCTGTGGGTAAAGAGGATCAGAGTGCCCGTGCTGTGCTGGGCAGAGCCATCCTGAGGCAGCTGATTTCCCCAGCAGCCGAGGTTCATTAGCGCTGCCGAGTGCTGCGTGAGCGGAATGCTCGGCTCTGATTCCAGGGAAGGCTCCTGCACGGGGTGGGAACGTGGTGTGAGTGGCTCTGCAGCACTTCAAGGGCCAGCACTGGTCTCATGGACAGTGCTGGGCAAAGCTATTCATTGCTAATCTTATACTGAAATCATTTCTAGATAAGTTGAATGGTAAACAATGAGGGCTGGAGGGCTTACCCTGTGTGTGTATTCTAACTCTGTTGCATAATCTGACTGTAGCAGCATTTGGCACCAAGAATCTGGAAAACTTGGTGGCAAAATGGCTTCTCAAAACAACCCAAGTGTAGCAATCCTGCCTTTTTTTTTTTCCCTGGAATTCAGATTCCCTCTGAAGCTACAGCACATGGGAAAGTTTGGGGGGCTTTTCCTGGGCAGTGAACCAGCTGTGAATGGAAGTGACAGTCACCACGTGCTCCTCAGGCTCCAGAACGAAGCCTGATGGGTCCAGTTCTGTGTGTAGAAGTTTTCCTGCTCTGGATTTGGTTGGAATGATGTGTCTAGTTAACATCCCCTCTCCAACCATACTAAGAACATCCCAACAGACTTACTGGGCACAAGCAGGAGGAGTAGGCTCAGGAAGTGCATATGCTCATTGCCTGTTCCCTGGACTTCTGACATGGAATTCTCTTGCTGATGGACAGTTTCTGAGACTGAAATTGGCTCCTGTGACAGGAGAAATGTCTCATGGAGGACACCAATTGTATCTATGGAAACTGGAAATTTCAGGCTGTGTCAGGAGACACCTGGAGAAGTTCAGGCTGACCAATGGGAAATACAAAGTCATACATAAATTAAGAGGTATTAAACTCCTCTGGAATGAGAGGATGTACATTAAAGTGGCCTTGGTTTGCTATAGATTAATTAATCTTGGGAGATACCAGGTTTAATTAAGATACAGTGAGTTAGAGCCACTTCACTTTGGATAGAGATCATTCACAAGGGAAATTTTTAACCTTATGCACACCAACATCATGCCTCCTATGGCTCAGCCTTAACTTTCAGTGCCCCTTGGAGAGGCCTTGGACACTGAAATCTGAGGACTTCGAATTCTGACTCCAGTTCTTAGGAGAAACTGGACAGACTGGGCTAAAGATAAAAGTGTATAATGCACGTGTAGAAAACGTGTGGTAAACCAGGGTCGTGTGACAGGCTCTGCAGGGGGGCTCAAGTCCAGATTTGAAAAGCATTTAAATAGAGGTTATGAAATGGACCATTAAAACTTAAGTAACAGGGAACATAAGAGTGAAAGGGGGTTACCAAAATCCATAGGGTGAGTCTGAGGTCTTGCTGCAGGGTCGTGGTGCTGTCTGGTAGAGAAGAGTCTTGGTGAAAACTAGTTCTGTGTTTCCCTGACTGCGAGTGACCTCCCTGGATCAGATTAAAACCTCTCCTGGTGTGTCTCTCTTTTTCTTTTCCAGCAATTGCCCCTCATTTTTGGCCGCTGCTTTAGCAAGAGCAACCTCAGACGAGGTCCTGCAGAGCGACCTCTCGGCGCATTTCCTACCAAAGCGCGTGGACAACGCGGACGGGATCATACGTAAGTGCCTCCCGGGGGGGGTCTGGCACTGCCACTGCACACTGGAACACTCTGCAGAGAATTCAGAGGTTTTTAAGGTCAGCTCTGGCTTCAGTGATCCATCTTGTCTGACCACCTGAATTTCATTAATTCCTCAAATTAGTTCCTCCTACCAGCCAGCTAAATGAAGTTGGGCTGGATTTCTGGTAGAGGAATATCCCTCACTGATGTAAAAAGATTAATGGAGAATTCCCTACCACTCTGATACAGGCAGTGACTAATTTCTTGGTCAAAGCTTTCTCATTTTGAAATAACTCCTTCCTTTTAAGTGCACCTTCATGGCTGTGTCTGATGGCCCTGAGTTTCTTTATCAGCACTTTAGACCATGTGGTTCTGCTGGCAAGTGCTAGTTGTCCTCCCTCATCCTTGGAGCAAAGTCAAATATATGTGGGAAGAGAGAATTTAATTCTGAATTATTTCAGCCAGTGTAGTTTTTACTATGGCTTGAATTTTTTTTTATACAGTTTTAGCAAAAGATAGTATAAAGAGATCTCAGGATTAAAAGGGGGAAAAAAAATTCCTTTCCCTCATTTATCTTTGTTGGCTAAGAAGATTTTTGCAGCATCCAGCTCAAGGTCATGCACCTGAAATCATTTCAGGACTCTGCTGGCCTAAATAACCTTGAAAAAATGCTGGGTTGCTCGTTACAACAAAGAACAATGTTTCTCACATGTATTGACAGGAATTCTGTCATTTGATCTTGAAAATACAGTCACTAAACCACTTTGTCCATTCCTTCCTTTTTTGATTAAAAAAAAAAAAGTGAATTATTCTGGGGGTAAGGAGGATCTATAAATCTGGCTCTTCAAAAAGGAAGATTCAGCTGCATTCCCCAGAGGCCTTTGGAAACCTGAGAAACAGAAAAACATGCTCTGGGTTCCCTTTCTGTAGGTATTGCTGCCTCCTCCTGCTGAGCAGGTAAATGGAATAGATTTGTCATTGTTCTGACTGAGCAGCCTTCATTAATTTCGAATTGAGATCTCTGAGATGTGCATAAATATTTGACAGTCTCCAAGGAAATGTTGACTAAGCCTCCACATAGAATATCTAAAGAATTCAACAAAAAAAAAAAAAGAAAAAGAAAAAGGAAAAAAAACCCACCACAGAACCCTCACACCTACAGAAATTGCCACTCAAATATATCTGAGCCTGGAAGACAGATGCAAACGTAGATTGAGATGGGAACAGACTGGAGCAGGCACTAAGAATAGCACTCCAGATGCAGTTTGTTGAGGTGAATTGTCATGATGAAGGTACTTGGAAATCAAATATACCTTTACTGATGCAATGTGAAAAGTTAAATTGAGAAGCTAAAGGGCAGAGGAAGAGAGAGAACATCTTCTGGCCCATAGCAGAGCAAAGGTTTCATACAAACCCTGCAATTTCAAATAATATGCCATAAATGATAATTTTTCCAAAGAGAACATGAGCTCAAGTGATCACAGAATTAGAGCCACAGAGTGGTTGGGGTTGGAAGGGACCTTAAAGGTCACCCCCTGCCACGGACAGGGATGCCACTCACCAGACCAGGTTGCTCCAGGCTCCATCCAACCTGGCCTTGGACACTTCCAGGGATGGGGCAGCCCCAGCAGAACCAGGGCTCCATCAGTGCTTCATCACCTGGTGGTGGAAGGTTTGGCCAAGAAAACCAGAACAAAACTGGGGGAATTGGGCAGGACTGAAGATTTCATTGCAAAACTCCATCCTAGTGAGCCTTCCTAGGGGAGTCCCTTGAGAAACCCAGGTAGGAAGTTAGAGGAGACCTGCCCTCACTGGTGCCACACAGGGAGACTGTCATGCTTTGAAAGAAAGCAGAGGAAACTGCAGCAGGGGATAAAAATGGGAGTTCTACATCTGGAAGTTTTGTGCTCAGAGTTCACTGTGCCCTGATGCTGTTTGTGAAACCAGGCTGAATTCAGCTGGCTGGTTTTAATATCCACTTCTGTCAGTGTTTCTTATGAACCCAGGAAGATTTTTACTCTGTGTAATACAAGGCGACATTTACCTGATTTGCCTCAAGTTTGAATTTGCCAGAAGACAAAAAAAAAAGCAATTTCAAATTTCTTTAGTGGCACATTTCACTTGGAGAATTGCAACGTGACAAATCATGGCACAGACTCAGGGGTGGTAAAAGCAGTCATGGGTGTGCTGGTGGAAGGGAAATTAGAAGCTTCCTGAAAGAAGAGGGCAAATCTTAAATGAAGGAAAACTGTTTTGAGTCCACAAATGTAGGAGTGCAAGAATATGGGCTTGTTATATTTGGGGTGACTGTGTGTCTTTGGATATCAAGAACAGAATCTGAGTCACAGGCCATGACTGACTCTTCCAGTTGGAGAGGAGCAAGAGAGTTTCCATGAGAACTGAAGGATGCTGGATTTCTGTTTTGAAAGGTCAGGTGAAGGACCTTTAGTTTTGGGTTGTTGTGTGGAGGTAGATAATCACGTGGAAGTTTGGCATTGTTAAGGAACCACCAAAGGAGGCTGGATGGTAGTGACTCTGGGACATGGTGGTGATATCTAAAATACCTAAAATATCCAGCAGACATCACAAAGCAAATCACACCATCCCATTCCCCAGCCCTTCCAGGGACTGGGAGATGGGATTACTGCAGCCAAGACACAAAGGGACCATTGACTAGTTGGAAACTGGAGTTCCCAGATTAAGGAAAACCTTGGCCATTGGCCTGATGACAAGTCTATAAATGTGGGTTCTGACCCCTGTTGTCAAACTGTCCGTGTTTTCAAGAGAAGTCATAAAATATGGTGCTAAAAATCAGGATCTAATTCCTGGTATTCTTTCTACCCTGATTTTACCCTAAGAGTCAGTCTCTGGGAACAATAGTGCCTGAGCTGGCTTTCCCACCAGCTGTGGTGCAGTGAAGCACCACTTCCAACCTTGGGGACTGTGGAGCAGCAGGAGGGAAATGAGATTCTCCGTGACACAACCGCAGTGACAGCTGAGTCAGCTCTGGCTCAGGGCAGCAACTTAACAATTGATGAGTAATTTCCAGCTGTGAGGGGGCGGGTTAACCATTGTGGGTTAACCATTGTGGGCCTTTCTGCTTTAACCTCAAGAGCAATTACTGACAATGCCAACACTCCATATATCCCCACTGGGAAGGGTGTTGAGGATCTGAGCACAGCCAGTGGGTTCACTCCTGTCCTCCCTCAGAGTAACACCGTGACACTGTGAGGTGGAGCAGCCACGTGACATTCACATGGACCCCGACACGGACCCCACTGCCCTTCATCTCTGCCCAGAAATGGAGGAGCAAGTCTGGGGCCTTCCCTCTGGAAAATATCATTTGGACACGTCAGGCTGTACGTGCTCCCTCTTCAAATACATTACCCAGGAAAGGGTTTCTGGTGGCTCTGGTGAGAGCTGGACAGGTGGTGTGAGGAACTGGTGCCTGTTACTGGTGGGATCAAGAAGCTAAGACTCCTGTTAGTCATGGGTACAGTGTATTTCCAGCTTCATGGCTGCTCAGTAGATTAAACTGGAACCAACTCATAATCAACAGAGCTGGGAATGTATCTTGTTCCTAAAGGCCTTGGCTCCCTGGTCACTGTAGCCCACATTTTGTGTAGGCCTAGGTCAGAAATTAGTAAATGCTGCTTTTAGGCTCTTCACAGAATTCCTGTGAACCAAGAGATGCTGTAACACTCCCCTCTCCTCCCTGCATTTGAGCCCCTCCTCCTCCAGGAATGATTGGCACTCATGGATTGCTGCCTTCAGCTTTGAAGATCTCTGCCTTTGGTGAAGGATCATGAACAAAGAGATTTTGATGTGTTCAGCTCTGATTACTTCCTGTTTTCCTGCCCTGAATTTCAGAACAAATGTCAAGTGCCTGAGTTTTCACATTTTAAAATGCCTATTTCTCAGGAGTGACAGTTCAGCATTTTCCTAAATTTGAGACCTTTATGGTTTTCTCACTTGCTCATGCAGATTTCTTTGACACATCATTGTCGGGAGTATGGAAATAATAAGAAATCTGGAAATAACTGAGGCAGCACCTGAGTTGTGCAATGCTGAAAGTGTGCACTGCCAGAACACCTTGAAGTAATACTGCTAATTTCTGTAGATTGTTTCCACTGCTCTGCCTCGGCTCTGCAGTGAAATGGTGTTTAGAATAGAGAATTGGGTCCCAAACCAATCTCTCATTGTTATGGATGGTGGGTTTTGTACGTGCCATGACAAAGTCCTTGTCAGAGCTGCACCACCCTGGGCAGAGTGGCACGGGGGGATTGGATGCTGAGGGAAGAGTACTTGCTTTTCATTTTTTTCTCATGCTGCAAATGAGCTCCCCAAAGGCACAGGGAAATGTTTAAGTTGAAAAGACAAACAAACAATGAGCTGCTTACTGATGAATGCTGATTGTGGTGAGTTTGGCTTCCCCTTTTCATGCATCAGAGCCCAGAATTTCCCTGCTGACATCCATTTCCACTGCTTGGCTGAAACGGTTTTGTTTCATCTCCGCGATGTATGCGAGGGAAAAAAATTTCAATTAGTAACACTCTCAGCCTTTCATTTGTGGTTTGTGCCTTCCCCAGAGATCGAGACAGTGAAGTTGGCCCGCCTGGTTTTTAGCAAACTGCACGAGATCTGCAGCAACTGGGTGAAAGACTTCCCCCTGCAGCCCAAGCCCCACCGCTACTACGAGACGTCCATCCACGCCATCAAGAACATGCGCAGGAAGATGGAGGACAAGCACGTCTGCATCCCTGACTTCAACATGCTCTTCAACCTCGAGGTGAGCACAGATCACCTGGGAGACACATCATAGGATAATGGTTTCCATTCTTGGGGAAACTGGGGCATCTTCTGCTGAGGGGATGAAATGGGATGGGCCTGAGCAGGGTTGGCGGTGCGGGGACACACGTGGTGTTGAGTTGGTTCAGTTGGTGTTGGTGTAACCACAGGGTGACAGGCAGTTTCCACAGAGGGTAAATACAACAAAACAGCCACTTGCACAGATTTCTGGTGAAATGTCACCTGACTACACAGAGGTTGTACCTGGCCCATCCTGATGCAGCCGCTCCCGCAGTGGCTCAAGGACTGCCCTGCCTTTGTGCAGAAAGCAGCCCTGCTCTTGTGAGTGGGAACTGATGCACTTGTAGTACTGTGAGATAAACCAAGGCTGGAGCCTCCACTGGCTGAGGATGTCCAGGTGTGGGAGATCATCACCAGTGGCAAAGACGAAGGGGGTCACCTTACAGTCCATCACTGAAGCCAGGTGACAACCAGGGGTGGGTCTGTTCTGCTTTACAACAGACCTTGGGAGGAAGAAGCCAAAAGCAAGAATAAGGACAGAAAGTAAAAAACCCCAAACAGACACAAAACTTACAGGACAATGGGGTGCAGCTCCCACGAGAATCTACCAACATGAAGGTTTAGTGGAACTGGGGTCATTCCACCCCATTAATTTCCTTATGTGGCCATTGGTCAAACACTCACTCCTGCTCTTCCTTGAGATATAAAACTGGACACTGAGGAATGGAAAATAAAAGGAAGTATCAAGACTTTTACTTTTAGGATCAGATTGCTGCATAATTACACCTTTATTACATCCTGTCACTTTAATAACCATCTTCTGCCCCATCCACATTCTTACCTTTAAATTATATTAATGCAAACAGAGGCAGATGTTTCCTTTGCCTGTCAATTGTCAGCTTTCTTATTCCAATTTGTGTTGGAGCCCATTACCTAAAAATTACAATGTGCAAATATTCCAGTCATTGAGCTGGCTGTCAAGGTTGAATTGGCACTGTCAGTGGGTTGGTGGTGTGTGTGTGAACAGGCACAGGAGTTGCTGTCTCTTGGTACCGCTTTGTTTCTCTGAACAGATAAGAGGAAGCTGAGAAAACTGACTTGAAGATGAGCGATTTTGCTGTATTTGATTTGTGAATGTAATCACAATTATCTGATGAGAGAGCACATACAGGGTTTTTTTTTTTTTCAAAGACAGGCATCTAAAATGATATGGTTTAGATTTAAGAAACAAAAAGAATGAAAGCAGAGGCTTCACATTTTAACTGTGCTGGCATTTTATCCCTGGTGGATCCTAGCCTTGATGCAGACTTCATGCAAACTGTAGTGGATGTTCTTCTCTCCCTGTGGTTTTCGCAGTCACAGAACCTCCTGCACAATTTGATGAGAATGGCACTTCCTATTTGAGTTGTGTGACTGAGTGGTAACAAATGGGACATAAGGAGTGTGGAGAGCCCCACAGAGGTGATTCTGGCAGGGCATTCTTGCAGGTAGTATTCAACAGTAAGGTGGAAGTTTCCCACTGATGCAAGTGAAGATGGTCAGGGCAGTTTGTTTTTCCAGTGGAGACTCTGCCTCTAAGTCCAGTTCAATGAGGACACCACAAACCCCAAGTTCAAAGCTTTAGGACAGTCCAGCTGGCTGTTTGCATTGCTTTCTCCTGAGGTGTTTCCTCCATGTGTTTCCCTTGGCAGGACCAAGAAGAACAGGCCTATTTCGCGGTGTTTGATGGCCATGGGGGAGTGGATGCTGCCATTTATGCCTCCATCCACCTCCACGTGAACATGGTGCACCAGGAGATGTTCCAGCACGACCCGGCCGAGGCTCTGTGCCGAGCCTTCCGCGTGACCGACGAGCGCTTCGTCCAGAAGGCAGCCAGGGAGGTGAGGGAGGGCCTGGGCCTGAGCCTGAGAGCATCAATCTGTAAATTCTGCCTTTGTCAGCTCCCAGCACAGGCCAAGGTCAGACTGGAGCTGCCCATGCACAGTCCATGGAGCTGGTGCCCACTGCTGGGCTCCTCTGTGTCCCATAAGAATGCCACCTTCCACTTCTCACAGCAGCCACTTCCTTTAGGAGGATGCTGCTGCCACTCTCATGCTAACTGGGTTTAGTCCTTGGGATGGGGTTTTTTCCTCAGGTTTAGTCCTTGGAGTGGGGTTTTTTTTTTTCCTTATCTCTACAAGATACATTTATTTGTCTCCAGAAAGCAAGAATAAATGGATAAGTGAGTCATAAGCCTCCTAAACTCATGCAAGGCATGAGTTAAGTGCAGGGAACTCAGGCTGCTCATAAATAAACCTCCCTCCAAGTTCAGTGACATGCCTGTGTGTCTGTCAATGACAGGAAGTCAGCCAGGGCAGTCACACACCAGACACCAGCAGAGCCTGGCTGCTGACAGGCAGTTCCCATTCCAGGGATGTCACGGGGCAAATTCAGTCACTCACATTCAGCCAGCTCGGCTCTGGGGAGCTGTTACTGAGCAGTTGTAGCCGTAGGGGAAGCACTGCCTGTTCCTCCCTGGGAATAGGCTCTGTGCTGCACTGTCAACATGCTCTGTCCTCGAGGTAAGCAAGAAAATGCTTTGAAATGGAAATGCATCTTTTTTTCCACCCTGTCCAGAGCCTGCGCTGTGGAACCACCGGGGTGGTGACTTTCATCCGAGGGAACATGCTGCACGTGGCCTGGCTTGGGGACTCCCAGGTTATGCTTGTGAGGAAAGGCCAAGCTGTGGAGCTGATGAAACCCCACAAACCAGACAGAGAGGTGAGAACACACCTGGGCAGTGCTCCCCACAGGTACCAGCTTGCTGTGAGTGCCGTGCCAGTGTCTCTGTGAGTATGTTCCAGTTACCCCGGTTTGTTTGGATGTCACTATGGATTTGTGTACAAATCCTTTGTCTCACCTCTGGGGGCCTGCAGCCTCCACTATGTGTACGTGAAAGAACAAATATTTATGGGAGTGTTCAGTGTGTGATGCAGCTCTGTCCAAACAACTCCTGTGTTGCTGTTTAGGACGAGAAGAAGCGCATTGAGGCCCTGGGCGGCTGCGTGGTCTGGTTTGGAGCCTGGAGGGTGAACGGGAGCCTGTCTGTCTCCAGAGCTATTGGTAAGAGAGGGCTTTCATTCCCTTTGGAGCCTTGATTTTCTTTACAGCATTTTAATTTTTTAGCAATTTGCTTTTTAACCATAAAATTTTAATTTTCTAGTGATCACAATTTGAAATACAGCTGTAGACCGAGCTGTGAGCAGTGACCTCTATTTTTCCCCCTACAGTTTGAGGGAATAATTCCCAAATAATTGCTTTAACTTGGGCTAAGAGTCACTGGCTCCATGCTGAGTTAATAAAGGGCTTCTGGATGCTGTGGCTGCAAACCCACAGTGGTGTCTACGTGTTGTTTTTCCTCAGGGGACGCCGAGCACAAGCCATATATCTGTGGGGATGCAGACTCTGCCTCCACGGTGCTGGATGGCTCTGAAGACTACCTCATTCTGGCCTGTGATGGCTTCTACGACACCGTGAACCCCGACGAGGCAGTCAAGGTGGTGGCTGACCACCTCAAGGAGAACAATGGTGACAGCAGCATGGTAGCACACAAATTGGTGGCGTCTGCCCGGGATGCCGGTTCCAGCGACAACATCACCGTCATCGTGGTCTTTCTCAGGGACATGAACGCGGCCGTCACCGTCAGCGAGGAGTCGGACTGGACAGAGAACTCTTTCCAAGGGGGGCAGGAAGACAACGGGGAAGACAAGGAGAACCATGGAGACTGCAAACGGCCGTGGCCCCAGCACCAGTGCTCAGCACCGGCAGATTTAGGGTACGAAGGACGAGTGGATTCCTTCACCGACAGAACTAGCTTAAGCATAGGGTCCAGCATCAACCTGCTTGATGATCAAGGCTATTTAGACCTGACAAAAACAGAAACTAGTTCACCTCAGAGTGCCAAATGTCTGCCACCAGTCCAAGTGTTTAGTCCTGGAATACCAAAGAGTGCAGATTTGATCAGCAGCTTCCCAGCGAAGGGCGAATCCCCAGAGCGCGCCACGGCCTCGGTCTGCGGGCAGAGCCACCCTGGGGAGCACGACGCTCCCCTGAGCTCGGGTGCTGCAGGGCAGGGCATCTACAGGGTGAAGGGGTTGTCCCCCATCTTCTCTGGGCTGGAAGATGAACTGTTGGAATCCTTGGGAAAACGAGCCGCGTTCCTCCACGTCCGGCTCTGCGGCGGGAAGAGGCGACGAGCAGCCAGGCTCACACCAAAGTTTCACACCCTGCTCTGGGCTCAGGAGCCTTCCCACCTAGAAGGATCCACCCTGTCCTTCCCTTTCCGGGGCCGCAGGAGCAGGAGGGCGTCGGCCCGACCCTCCCCCTGGCAGAGGCTGCTCAGTCGTAACACTTACAGCGAGAGCATGTTTTTGATGCGAAGACAAAGTAATTGTATACCAGACCCACCCCTCCATCAATGCTGTAAAATGTAACCACCCCCTCGTGTTCCCCCTGTCAGACTCCCAAAGTAGACATTCCCAAAATAAAAACTGGCATCATCAGAGAGCGAAAAGAGGTGGGCATTTCCGAACTGTACTCCAGTCCCCTGCAAAGCTCCAAACCCTGTGTAAATAGACCTAGGAATTAACAAATGTAGTTGTCTCAAATCTCAATAAAGTTTGCTGGTGGTGACACCCTGAGCAATTCCGCAGCCGCCCGACCACCCGCACACACGAGTGTCCAGCCACATCCACCAGGGAAAGCCAAACAGCCGCTTCACGTGGACAGACTCCGTCAGGGCACAGTCCTTAGACACGCAGAAGGCTGCACCTGCCTGAGGAATGTCTGTGCAGCAATACTTACAGCACGGTCTGGTTCAGAACTGCCAAATTTTTCTAGAGCGGGGGGAAGTTTCCGTAGAGTCGAGGTGTGGGGGGGGTTTCTTGTGTTCTGCTTTCTGTTTGTTCCAGGTGAGCGTTAAGGTGAATTAGGAATCACATCCACTTTTGCAGGTAGATGACTAAAAGCCATACAGGGTTTACCAGGTACCTTAGGAATGGACACACTAAGCTCCTGCTGCTCTGGTCTCAGACTCCTGTCGAGGTACAGACTCATAATTTACCTTTTTTTTTTCCATGTAACATAAAATGCGGAATATGAAGAAAACTTTTCTTGTAGTTTAAAAAAAAATCCTGTTTTCCTGTGGCTGGAGGTGCAGTGTAGGGAATTTCGTACCTTTCTGGTGCTTTTAGTGGCATTTTTCTTGTTTCTCAGTTTAGGAAACTGTTCTCAGTTGAACATGATTGTGCTTAATGCTTTGAGCCAACCTCTTCCCACCCTAACTTCATCTCAGGTCTTAAAAGAACAAATCCGTGGAGAAGTTCAGGACAACCCCCTGTCCCTCCGCCTGTCGCACCGGAGATCAACTGGATGAGCTGTTTGGTTTCATTAATGATTTCTAGATGGCAGAGGCATCCTTTAACATCAGATTTCAGCATGAAGGATGGTGGGTGCAGCACCAGGGTTGCCGTGGGGTGTTGTCAGGGTGTGTAGGAACGGATGCCGGGCTGCCGGAGCGATCCAGAGCGCGTGGAAATGCCGAGGATGCGGATGAGCAGGGGCTGTCCTTGGGTGGAATTCACTGCTCTGGGTCCCCCTGGGTCCAGGGGGGCAAGTGAGGAATGTCAGCTGCCCCGGTTTGGCAGGGGCCACCAGCCCCTCCCCGCTCCCCAGGGGACGTTCCACCCTCAGGGAGCCGTTAGTTGGGACGTAAATAAGCAGCCGATTCCCATCAGCTCCACTAAGCCCAGATCCTGTTACTGTCCTTTGTCACAGTAAGACATTTGGAGGAGTATGAATAAAGTCAGTCTTCATAGGCACTTAGTGTACCATTCATATCACTTTAGCAGTAACAATAGCAGTATTAGTGTTTAGCTAGAATTTGCAAAGTATTTTAATATTAAGTAGTCAGGAGATTATTCAACACGACGAGATGGCAAGGCTTGAATTCTGCCAATTTCCGCTGCTTCTATCTTCGATGCACTATTTTAAAAGCAATCTGATGAACAGCAAAAGGCTTTGTGAGCAACCAGGAGTTGGAGTGTGGCTTCAGATTCCTTTGATCTTTTTCAGACTTTGTTTTAATCTTACGGGATCATTGGCTCTTATCTGTCATCTTATTCCGCCTTAGCTGTTGTCGATGTTCTCTTCAGCTGCAGCTCATGTTCCAAGTCAGATTTACCGAGGAAATTTGAGAAACCATGAAATGGTAAAATATGCAACTCTGGGGCATCTCTGTGGTGCCTTTGTTTTAAATTATTCACAGTAATAATGGCTCGTTGGAAGTCCATCTTTAGCTGACTGTCGTGTTCCGGAGAGAAAGGTGGTGTAAGTGCAATTCTTTGTGTGAGTAACTTAAGAGTGAAAACCCATTATGGATGATAAAACTTCTTCCCAGTCTGCAGGAGCAGTTGAAGAGCACTGGACTGCATGTGTGCTGTTTTGGGAAGGATTTAGCTTTTTAGGTGTGGATTCATAAATGAGAATTCTGCGACTCATCCCATTTATCCTGCTAGGAGAAAACAATCCACCATCGTAGTTCCAGTGTGGTCAGGTAAAACCATTGTATAGATAGAGCAAGTGTTCATTTCTTCACTAACTGCATATTTATAGAGTAGATAGGAACCATTTGTAAGGTAAGTCCTTTAAAGTTCTATAATATTAAAAGTAGTGGTTATTGGTCTGATTATGCTGCTCTTGATTCTACAACTAGACAAAAAGCAGTGCTTGTGAAATGCAGTGTTTTCTCTTAATGCCACTGGTGATAGGAAGTAGTTCTCTTCAGTTCAAACTCCTGTGCCCTTATTTGCTGCTTGCTGACGTAAGCAATAATCCCTCTCTAACAGTATCTAAGTGTTCTGTATCTCGTACTTTGATTGTCTATCTGGTGACAGTGTAAAACCTTAGGCTAATAGAGAAGTATCTCATTGTATTTATTAACTGTTGATACTGAGATTCAGTCTGTGACCTGTGTTTTGTATTTTTATCGTGTATCTTTAGTGGTGGTGAAATTTGTATAACGAATCTTTCCAATAAAGAGCTGAAGTATCCCTTTCCCGCGTTAACACGACCCCATCCGTTCCGGTTGGCGTGGTCACCGTGGTGGCAGAACCAGGAGGGAGCAGCGAAAACGTGACTTTATTTTTTTTTGTGTTTCAGTCTGTGTTGGTTTTGAGGAAGGGGCTCCAGGCTGGTTCTGTCTGAAGCCGCTCCAACCTCGCTCGTAAGCTCTTCACTGTGAGGACTGGCGGGATTCCCGCGATCCCGGCAGTTTCCTGTGTACTTTTCCATGTGCAACTCTGAGGAATGTGTGCGGTGCGGAGAGCAGAATAGCACCAGAGCAGGGAGCTGTTAACCCATTCGATTTGCACTAAAGGTGGGTGGAAACACATGTATATATAACTTTTCTTTACCTAGAAGTGCCATCCATTGTCCTTGCGAGTTCAAACCATCCCGTACCTGAGTTGGGTCGCGTCGTGACGCTGAAGGACAATGTCAAAGCAGACTTTACCTTATGCCACGTTTATGGTGGTGCATCATCGTAGAAACTCCGCCTGTTTTTGGAACACTGTGTGTCGGTGAGACCGTTGTCCCATGGGCAGATGAGGCACGAGGAGTTTGTGTATAGACATGGCTGCTGTAGTTCAGGTCCACTGTCTCCTCCCTGAATCCTCCCGACCCCGGCAAAGCTCTGCGGGAAAGCAAAAGGAGAAAGATTGGTCTAAATTAGGGGCTGTTTTAGCACAGTTTACTCCACCAGTCATGCAAACAAAGCCATCCAAGGGGATACTGCAGCTTCGTTCATGGCTGTAATTTAGGGCAATCTTTCTTTAATCCACACCCTCTCTGCAACAGGAACAAAAACTCTCTACCCTTGTATCATGTGCAATAAATAACGAAGCATTAAGGCGACCTCTGGCTCCGATGGCCGTACCCTCCTCCAGCCCTCGCGACTCAGCGACGGCTCCTGCCAGCATTAGAGCTAAAGAGAAACAACCCCACCTGTCAGGGCCTCCCACAACTCCTGGGCAGGGTCTCCTACAACTCCTGTAAGTCGCACTCGCCTTGTGTCCGGTTTTTCCTCTCCTTCCCTCTAGAAGACACCTCTGGACAAGAACAGGGGAAGTGGCTGAGCTCACCCCCAGTGCTGCTGCTCGTGGCCAGCCAGGCGTGGTGTCAGCTCCTGGGTGCTCCTGTTGACCTTTCTGTAGTACCTTGTTCATGAGACATGTTCTTTATGAAGTGAATAAATTAAAGCTAATCATGTACCAGTGTTGGGACTTTTCCATTTGCAACCTTGTTCTACAGTTCACCCGCGAGTTCAGTTATAACCATGTATTAGTCATCCATATTTTATTTATGAAAGCTGTTTATACAGGAAAAACTGTTTTACCAATATCTTAATAAAACAGTAATTTAAACCACACTTCAGGCAGTCTGGTTATTTAAGAGCTAACAAAGACAGCAGCCACACTGTGTTCACTGTGGTCAAAGGGGGCTTCCTTTGATATCTAACAGGAGCTGGCTCTGTTGAGCTCTGACTCCATGGGGTTGCCCAGGGCCCATCACAGCCCAGCTCTGCTGTTTCACAGCCCAAAAGGCTGTGGTGGCACAGTCCAAGTAGATAAATAAATCTCCCAAGCCCCTTTCCCCACCTCTTTTTTACAAACCAGCTCCAAAAGTAAGTTCTCCATAAGGTGAGCAAATCACCAGCTCCTCTCTGGCCCCTCAAAGGCAGGACACAACCCCTGTGCCTGATCACTCAGTTCCTTCAGTTGGGCCTCTCAGCAAAAGCAAACCCTGTGCAAGTGCTGGAGAGGCAGAGCTCTGTGAGGACACCGGTTGAGCTGAGGGCAGTGATGCACCCACAGCCCTGCACACCCTGAGCCCCCACAACCACCACAGAGAGGGGCCTGGCCCTGGAACAGGCTGTGCTCCCTCTGCAGCTGAGAAACACAAACCCAGCTGGATAAAAACTGTGCATCCTCCTCGCTGCCTATCTGAATCAAGATTTAAGCATTTGGTCTGGCTTTTACAAACACAGCCTCAAGAATCCCAGAGGGGTTTAAGTGCTTTTCATTGAATAATTAAAGAAAAAAGTGACAGGTGGATGACAGGGAGAAGTTCCTCCCGTGAGCAGCCAAAGGGGCTGTGCAGGCCTGTGCTCGGACCCTGACAGCCCCCACCACCTCACTCAAACATCCAGAACTCCACCTCAGGTTTCAACATTCAATTTTATTAACAAAGTGCAAACAGTTTCAAACTAAATCGTACGGCACGGCCACGGCGGCACATTCACACGGACACAGGGCACGGGCAGCAGGACAGGCACGACACCGGGTACTCACAGGGCCTCATGCTTTGTCACTAACCAGGGGGCAGCTCCCAGAGGGGCTTCACAAGTAGTTGAGCAGCTCAAAATGTAACAACAGTGGCAAAGAGTTTGGCAATGGGTGCGATTGGTCCTTGTCACCGACCGGGGAAACACCTCGTGTGGTGCCTGTTCCACCCCAGCTCTGGAGCCACCGCCAGGCCCCGGGGGTTAAAATGAGGACAGTCCCACAGCTCGTGGTTATTCCAGCAGGACACACCTCCCAGGACAGGGCTCAGCACCTTCCCAACAGTTCCTCAGAGCACGTGAGGCTGGCAGAGCCAGCAGGAATGCAACCTGTAGTGCAAGGCCTTCCAAGGTCGTTGTGCCCCAGGGACAGGTTTAAGACAATGGCAGAAGAACCACAGAATGGAGAGCACACACAGCCATCGACAGCAGCCTCGGGCTCAGCTCCAGGGAATGCACACCCCTCTCCCCAGGGATGCAGTGGTGGGTCTTCAGGCCCCAAGCCCACACTCTACCTGTTCCAGACAAAGAGATTCCACTGAAAACCCTCCTGCTGGGGCAGCTTTAAGGATTCAAGCAAACACAGTCTTAGGAGTCAAAACTTCATGTCAGCTGCTTCAACCCAATCAGTTTTGTGCTGATTACAGAAGCATTCAGAACTCAGCCTGCCCTCCCTCATTCCCAGACTCCTCATTCCCTGGTGGAGCTCAGGGGGGCAGGGCAGCCATGGCCTCCCCCTGGTGCTGCCAAACACAGGGATCAGACTGTACCAACACCCACAGCAGGAGGAGTGTTGGCTCTGTGGCTGCAGCTCCTGGAGCAGCACAGGGAAGGTGCAGCCCCAGGGCTGGCCAAGGAGAACCGTCCCCGTTACCTGGTGGTGTCGTCTCCAGGGACAAAGCCGAGATCGTCAGAACTCACTTGGTCGCCATCCGGTAACACCGAGGAGTGTTCTGGGGGTGACACACCAACAGAGCCCAGTCACCTTCACCAGAGGGGCACCAGAACACCAGTGGGTGCTCCCTCCCCTCCCCTGACTCAGCCCAAACTTCACCCCGGGGCAGCTGCAGCCTCCCAGCTTTGATCCATTGACTGGAAGTTAAAGCTTTTACACCAAAAGTGAGACAAGTTCCTGAAACTTCACTGAACTGCTCCAAGCTCATTCCTGCCAATTAAGATGCAAATCCATGTCTAAGGCAGTGGTTACCTCCCTGGAATTAGCCTACTTACAGTGCCAGTGCTGGCACACAGGGAGTTCCAATTCGGAACTAGCACTGTGGGTTTTCCAACCCTTCCCCAGGAGACTCACCTGAACTGACTTCTCAAGGCTGGGAAGAGTTTCCCTTTCCTGTTTTGATCTGTTTTAACTGGTATCCCAAGAGAGGAGTTCCAAATCTTACTGGCACTTGCTTGAGCTTTAACACCTCCACAGCCCCCCCCCCTGGGATCTGTATCCCACAGCCGTGTGGGAGTGTTTGGGAAGGGGGGCTTGGAATATCCACCCTACCTTCGGTGGAGGGCTGGACAGAGAAGGCCTGGTTGAACACCTCTGAGGGCGAGGCCTCCTCCTGCTCCTCGTTCTCCGTGTCACATTCGATGTCACTGTCGCTGCTCATTCCCGGCAGGAGGTGCAGGACGTGCTTCTGGCACACCCCGGCTGCAAGAGACACCAGAGACAGCCCAGGCACAGAGGATGGTGAGATCCACACAGCTCAGTTATCAGACCTTTTCACATGGAAGAGCTCCCAGTATCACATCCCCAGGGCTGGCAGGAGGACATGGAGAGCAGTTCCATGTGCTTCCCAGAGCATGGAGGGATCTGACAGAGCAGCAGTCCCAGACCAAAATCTGCCCAGCAGATTTTGCTGGGCAGCCCCACTCCAGAGGAGCAGTTCCCACGTGCCACCAGCTGAGCCCAAGCCCAGGAGTGCAAATCTCCCTCCCCTCCAGCTGCAATTCAAAAAATTAAAGCTGCTTTCTGAACACGACCCGTGGGGCAGATGGACCTGCCAGAGCCCTCGAGCAGCACTGCATTTGAGTCACACCCAGCAAACAAATGACCCCTCAAAGCAGAACCACAGCTCTTGGTGCCATCAAGGTGGTGGTTTTGGCTGTGCCAGACCTTGGGTGTGCACTGGGCAGTTCTGGGGGAGACACTTCTTACTTCTTAAGAGCCAGCACTCATTGCTAAGGAAAAGCCAAGTGAGGGGCCAACTCCACTGCAGCTTTTCCTCTGAAAGGAGAACAGAATTGTAACATTTGCTTCCTGGGGTTTTTAACAATGAAGTATTTGAGGGTTTGAAGTGCTCTCCTATTGGGCTCTGCCCCAGGAGCGGAGCTGCATCACCATCACGCTGCAGTGACTAAGAGCAGAAATTCAGTTTTGTCACTGAGAGACCTTCTGCAAATGCCAACTCCCACACGATCCCGCACAAACTGCAGCTCGAGATGGATGCTGGCACCTTAATATAGGCTTTGAGCTACAATCCAGTCATTGAAATTCAAATCAGTGCAGGGGTGGAAGGTAGGAGAGTTTTAGCAAGATAAGAAAAACTCTTCTACGTGGACTTTCAAAAAAGAAAGGGAAAAAAAAAAGGCAATATTATTTTTTTCCAGCGTGGAAAGGATGCAGGAAGGGAGGGGGAAAAGTTTCCTCCAAGTCTCTAAGGAAACTGGCTTATGTACCACAACACCCAGCAGGAATGAAGTGCTGCAGAGGTTGGAGTGAGGAC